AACAAAGAGCCCGAGAAGACCACCTCTAGAAAAGATGATACATGTATTCATAGCAAAAACAAAGGTAAAGAAAAAACACATAGTGCACCTAGGAAAACCCGTGAAACCCATATGGAAGACAAGTAAATCCCTCATAAAAGTTGGAATCCTCCAAACCAGGGATTGATCAAGCCCATATCAAATCTTACAAGATGATATATATATTCATAGCAAAAACAAAAATAAAGAAAAAACTCATAGTGCACCTCAAAATATCCGTGAAACCCATATCGAAGACAAGTAAATCTCTCATAAAAGTTAGAATTTCCTTTTTACTGAACCTACAGTGAGTTTGTTGAAAACCCCACTATATATGACCATGGCGGAGGGGAAGGTCTCTCATGTGCTGTGTGTTGCAAAGTAGAGGGGGTTTCGGCCTCGTCGTGGACGTAGAAGTCCTCAGGTCGGGAGATGGAATGGCTATCTGCAGGTTGGCAACATCGTTAGAGGGTGGATTTTCCTCCTCGACCTTCTTTGCTTCTCGGGCGTCTTGCCGAGGAGCCTCTCTTCTCTTGGTGTATTGCTTCAGGTGCCCGTCCCTTATGAGGATCTCAATCGCATCCTTGAGGTGGATGCACTCTTCAGTAACCTGTCTGTGGCTCTTGTGAAAACAACAATACTTGGACTTGTCTGTGGTAGGCTTAGGGGGCTTTTGCCTGGGAAAACAGACTCCACCCTAGCGGAATTCTGAGCTTGTGCACTCGGGAAAAATACACTCGCGAGAAGTGATCAGCAGTGTGTATCCGGTGAAACGGCCAGCAGGTCCTTTTTATTCCCGAGACTCGCGGGACTTATCTTCTTTTCTTTTCTCCCCTCCTCGCAAGGTGCTAGGTGGTCATCGTGCCTCAAAACTCTGGCACTTTCCTGGTCGTGAGTCTCGGGCATTATTGGCGGCCTTTTTCTCCTCGTATTGAATATAAGCCTAGGCCTTGAGGAGGAGGTCATCCAACGATGCAGGCGTTTCAATGCCAACGTCTTTGGCGAAGTCACTGCGGAGGCGTAATCCTTGCTCGAGCAAATACTTCTTCATGTCATCGGCCGTGGAGACCTGGACGACTTCTCGATTGAACCTTTCGATGTAGGCTCAGAGGGATTCATCTTTCCCTTGCATCATTGCTTCGAGCGTCACCTCAGACTTTGGATGGTGACGATAAGCGGCAAAGTGCCTTGAAAACTGTTTTCCTAGGTCTCTCTAGGAAGTGATGGATTTTTCGGCGAGGCTCTTATACCACGTCATGGCACCCTTCCTCAAAGTAGTAGGGAACAACCTGCATTTGATGGCGCCTCTGACGTCGCGATAATTGAGCAGAGCATCAATGTTTTTGATGTGTTCTTCGGGGTCTGTTGTTTCATCGTATGTTCCCAAGTTCGGTGGTTTTTTTATCCCGACGGAAAGGGGAGCATCCATGATTGCTCGAGATAATGTCCCGCAGGGGTCGTCTTCGACACTACAAACTAGTGAGCATAGTGGAGAATGGTCGTACTTCTCTCGCCGAGAATTTTCATCACGGTGTGGTGGCGAGTCCTTTGGTCGTCCCTTTAATCTGTGAGGAGGTAAACGACGGTTATCTGGTCGTCCACTGGCTTTGATTTTCTTGGCACCCAGGGAGCGTCGATCTTCGCGGAGAGGAGTACGATTGCGCTTCTTGATCATCAAGGGTTGTGGCCTCTCTAACTGCGGGCGGCGACCTGGTTGTCGCGACGGTGGGCTTCGAGATTTATACTGTCCGTGTCTCCGCGGGGGAGAGCGTGAACGAAGGTCCTTCTCCAATGCTCTTTCATTTTGTTGGTAGATCAACATGTTGGTTTGGTTAAGCGCCGTGAATAGGGCCTCCATGGTCGGGTCGGCATTGAGTGGCATCGAAATCGGTTGAAATTTCTCCGGTGTCTTCTCTGGAGCTTTCTGGACTTTGCGGGTTTTTATGTATTGGACGCTATTGTCGGACGCATCCTCGGAGGTGGGGGAGGCAGTGTGCCTGTCTTTCCTCATTGGAGTGCCTACGTCCAAAAGTGGCATATCATTGTCGTTGTCAGTGTTACGGACGGGAGTGATGGCGATTTCGTGACCGCTGTTATTGTCATCGTGTTGACTGGCCGTGATCGATTTTTGAGGTTTTTTATTTTGATCTTTTGGTTTCAAGGAAAGAAAATACGGGGAAACTGTTTCCCACAGGCAATGCCACTAATCTGAACAGTTGATCAGAGTAGGTGAGTGGCCAGTAACACGACCATAGTGTTGAACGATCGACGAATGTGGGTTGTACTTGCAGGCACTCTGATACTTAAGTCAGTTCAGGTGAAGACGTAAGTAAGAAAGGGTTAAAGAATTGAATACCTGACCCTCTTACAAAGGAGAGTTTTTATAATGAGCCCCTAGCGCTTGACCAATGGTCTCCGTTATTGGCTGAGTGTTCAGGCCCACAACGGATGACTGTCAGGATTCCTACGTGAAAGTAGGGATGAACAGCTCGTGCTCATTGTCCTGGGTCAACCGTTTCGCCCTCCACGGGTAGTGGATGAACTTGCCCGTTACGAAGGGCAAAGCGGTTCGGCGAGGTGTGCAGGTTCAGTTAGTGACGTGTACTCGGGTGAGTAGTGGAACATGTTCTCCACTGACCCCAACGGGTTCGGCCAACACTCTGGGCCGTTCTTGACGTGGAACTAGATTGGATTGTGCTCGACGGTGGGTCAGCCACATGCCCAGTCCAGAACAATTATGAAGTCAATTATGCATTATTAAGAACATCTAAGTAACGTATTTTTAAATCGCTTCGTCGAAAGTGGATTTGATTGTCTTGTAAGTAACTTGCACTAGAAACAATCAATCTCATGGTAACCTCGTGTATCATTTCACGTGGCTTGATTCATTGAGATGATTCCAAACTCTTGTGTTTTTATATTTTGCTTCCGCGCTTCTTAAAATCTCTGATTTTGTTTATGAGACCTAATTTTTTTTTCTATTTGTTTTAAGGGGATAAGAGTCTATTCAATCTCTTTTAGATCTTTTTTGTATCTATATTCTCACCCAACAACTTTCTCTCTCCTCCAAAAATGTCTTATCCCACGTTATCCACGTAGAGATGAGGAAAGACTTCAAAGCGAGACGTTACCTCCCTTCGGACGACCATTCATCATCGTTGCCTCTTCCAAAACGCTCCAAGAGCATTGCTCTAGGCGAGATCAGCCTTTTGCAAATATAACACAATATATCATAAACTACACATTTAAATCTTAAAAAATTAGTTCAAAATATATCAATAATTGTTGATTTGACTTTTTTTTATATTCTTTTTGTCTCATAAAAATATTTTATTTTTTAATTTAAAATAATAATTATTTTATATATCAATATCAATATAACATTTATCTTTATTGTTTACACTTTATTGACTTTTCCTCAATTTAACTATTTTATATATTAACTATACTTAATAAATATAATTTAATAAATGAGAATATGAAACTAACTATAACAATAGAGTTTACGCAATTATTTTTTTTAAAATCTTACATCTTAAATAAAACATTTTAATAAAAGAAATAGAATATACTGATTGGTAGGAATAGTATAATATTATCCGCAGAAATATAAAAATAAAACTCAAAAATAATGAAAAGCTGCAACCGTTAACTTTGCCCCAAAAACAGAAACGAAAGTACAAATCACACAGTCCGTAGAGAAAGACGAAAATCGTTATCCGACGCAAGAGCCACGAATGGTTATTTGATTCTACAGATACCACGTGTCATTTCATCAAGCAGATAGCCCCATCCCTTTCTCCTTCTTCTCCCATCACCCAAACCTTGAACCCACCATCCTTCTTCTTCTTCTCACATAGTGGCCCTTCTCTCTATATACAATTATTTAGTTCTAGAAAAATAATTTTTTTTGGGTATATTTAGAATTTGGATAAGTGGTTTTAGAGGTGTTATTTTGGAAAAAAAAATATATATGATAGGTTATTATATAAACATTTCAATCTCAATTAATTTACTTTTTTAAATTATAAATTTATATTAGAAAAAAGAAAAATTATATTTTGATATTAAAGAATATTTGTCTTAGACAATATGATTAATCATTAAAAAAATTTGAATAAAATGGTAAGAGATCTCTTTTAATTTAATCATAAATTTTTTATTCGAATGCAATCTTGAGAATCCAATAAAAATTCTTGTTTTGAATAAAGTCCTGAACATCAACGGTGTTAAATTTTTTAAAAAGAGTTTTACTCGTCCTTCTTGATTTGAAGAATTAATCTTTGTAATTATAAGTGCAAAGTAATTAAATTTTTATTAGAAAAACAACATCATTAATTTCTTTTGATTTAATTAAAAATTATAAATTTAAATATATCAAGTTTGAATTATTAGTGTTTTGAGTAAATGAATAATTTGAAGGTACAAAAATATACTAACAAATTAGCTTATTCAATTATGTACATTTTAAAAAATCTAATCTCTTACATTTAATGAATGATTGTGATTACAACTTTTTGATATTAACACTAACTAAATGGCAATTTAAATTTATTTTCTGTTTATTATAAGCAAAATGACAATAATCACTATAAATTTATATAAAACTTTGAATTAAAAATTGCAGATCAATTGTTAATAATCATTAAATAATTTAAATAAATATTCGTTATATCATTATATGGATGTTTTATTTAATATTTTTTTTGGTCGTGTTTTATTTAATATCTATCATTTGTATTTACTATAATACTAGTGAAATTTGTATTTACTATAATACTAGTGAAAACTACTATTATTCATGATATTTGATATTTTATTTATTGTGGTCAAGATAGAGAAATAAATAGCAACATAAACAAGACGCATATATATGTGATGAGTTTGTTACGTACATAGTGTTGATTGCATTCTGTTACGATTCACTCATTTCTTCATAGATTGAAAAAGTTAGTTACTATTGAACTGAATCGGAAGAAGAAATGGACCACATCGCCGATGCACAACGCACCGATTTGATGACCATAACCCGTTTCGTTCTCAACGAACAATCAAAGCACCCTGAGTCACGCGGCGATTTCAGCATCTTGCTCAGTCACATTGTTCTTGGATGCAAATTCGTTTGTTCTGCTGTTAATAAGGTCCTCTCTCGATTTTTCTTTCTCTTCTCCAATATTTGTTTATCATTGTTCATCTAATTTTGTAGCACTCAATTGTAGCAATTATAGTAATATTGTTACTGTCAACTATTCATTTTGCGGTAGCGACGTAATATTTGATATTGCGAAGAATAGCGATTAAGTGCATGTTAGGTATCACGGTGGATTTGGCGGAACGATTGATTGAGTGCATGTTAGGTATTATGGTGGATGATTCGTCAGAATAACTGTGAACCACCGTGAATTTTGAATAATTACTTCGTTAGAGTTTGGTTTCAATTTGGAGCATGCAAAATTAATTCTGGATGTGTAAAATTGATTTTGACATGTTTGATTATTCTAATTGTTATGCTATTCATAATTGATTCTATTTGAAACTAGGATTTGTAGCTTCTAAGTTTAGCTGTTGGAAGAGTCAAAATCAGTTAAAGAGTTAGAGATTTGATTTTAGAATAATTTTGAGATGTTTGATTCTTTTAAAGTAAAGTTGATTCAGTTTCATTGATTCTACTTGAAACTATAATTTGTAGTTTTTGAGTTTAATCGTGATTTTTAAATTGAATTTACTCTTTCAACTCAATTTTGCGTAAAGTTATCTAAACATAAATCACTTGATATTCAATTCATTTTTAATCATAAACAAATTTAATAATCAATTTATTCAAAATCAATTTTGTTTATTGCAGAACCGAACATACATTCGCCTCACTTTTACTAGAATAAATTTTAAATAATCAATTCACTCAATTAATTTTCTTTACCGCATAATCAAACACAAGCTTTGACAAATTGTGATTCCGACAAATTCACCTTGATATCATACATGCACTAAATTCTTTTTGATATGGTCAAAATTCTGGTTAGAGTAATCAGAAGTAGTTTTAAACTGTGGCTGCGTTAGTTAGTTAGTTGCGAATCTATCCTACTGATGCAGTTGCAGTTGCTGTTGAATGCTGTTGGGGAGACTTTTAAATATTTTATACTAATGTTTTAATTTTGGTTGCAGACCGCAATTTAGATCTATGATCAAAACGTTTGAAGACAAATAATAGTAATATATAATAATTTGCAACTGAGATTTTAATTGTGGTTGATTTAAAGTCATATATGGCTGATACAATTACAATTGTGGTTAGATAGAGATCTGGAGAACTTTAAATAGCAACCACGCCATTTTTCAAAGTCTTCATTGCGACATTAAGGTTGAAATAATGGAATTGTGGTTGCACCTGAAATTTGTCGTCATGATGATGATGATGATGATGATGGTTATGATATGAGATGTTTATTGATGATATTATATTATGAGATTTTGTTATATGTGCAGGCTGGTCTTGCTAAGCTCATTGGACTTGCTGGAGAGACTAATGTGCAGGCAAGTGTTTCCCAAACAAACTCATGAGTATATATCTTTTTATTTATTTATTTATTGCTATTACTTTAATTAATATGTGAGGTTATTTGTAATAGGTGGCGAAAACAACATGGTTGGTGATATTTTTATCTTTAAAAGTGAAAGTGTTTTTTAAAGAACTTGATTTTATAACATTCATTCGATTAAAAGTTTGCAGTGAAATAGTTCTTTATGTTTCATTTTTAATTATCAATTTGGTTTCATTTTTAATTTTAACTTTTTCTTTGTGTTTCTTTATTGTTTGGAATGAAGGGTGAAGAACAGAAGAAGCTGGATGTTCTTTCCAATGATGTGTTCATCAAGGCTTTGAAAAGCAGTGGCAGAACAGTAAGTGACTAATTAACTTTTTTACAGTATATTGAAGAATAAGTTTTATGGCTTATGATGATGGTATGATGTTTTAACAGTGCATCTTGGTTTCTGAAGAAGATGAGGAGGCAATATTTGTGGATCCCTCGCAACGTGGAAAGTTGTTCACTCTCTCTTTCTTTAGCCGTGTCAATTTTTTTCCATATACTCTCTAAGAAGGTTTTAAATTGTGGTAGTGATTTTGTCATGATTGCATTGTAGCCACTGGATGCTTCTTTAATCAATGTTTTGATTGAAATGCAATTTGCGTCTAATTGTGACCACGTATTTAAAGTTTTAGAAGTTTTGTTTTTGCACCGTGGACAAAATTGTGACGGCATCAGTTGTAATTTTTGTGTTATCAAGAATCGTGTTGCAACATGATGTCCACAGTTTAAAACCTTCCAGAGAGAAGTCTAACATTGATCTTGGAGTCTGATTTGTTAATATGGACTTTCATTTTTTATGATTCAGGTACTGTGTTGTTTTTGATCCATTGGATGGCTCCTCCAACATTGATTGTGGTGTTTCCATTGGAACTGTGTGATCCTTATTCCCTATTCAATTTCTTGCAATTTGTTCCTATATAGCACCAACACTTCACACTGAAGGTCTGTCTGGTGTTCGACATATGTCAATGATCAACACTGACACAACACAAACAATTGTGGTGACATTCAATTATTGTCGTTCTTTCAAATTATTACAGGTGTCGAACACTATTTGTGTTGGTGCTTCATAGATTTGTCCTTCTACTATTTTATTTGTTGTTGCGCGTAAAAAAAATTTATATTCCATTCTAACCGGATAATGCTGGTTTCAATTGAGTATTTGTAGATTTTTGGGATTTATATGATGAAAGATAACCATGAACCAGTCATAGAAGATGTCCTGCAACCTGGGAAGAACATGTTGGCAGCTGGTTATTGCATGTATGGAAGCTCTTGCACGGTATAATATTCATAAAGTTGTATCCTTGATCATTGCTCATGACTTTCTATGTCTTCAATCTAAAATTACAATGCTTTATTACTCCATGACAATTTGAGATCTAATGATTTGCAGCTTGTGATAAGCACTGGAAGTGGTGTTAATGGTTTCACCCTTGACCCTTCTCTCGGTGAATTCATCCTAACTCACCCTGACATTAAGGTATTACTCTGCTCACATATGGATCACTGTTATAAATTGTTCAAAATTTGATGGATTGGGCATTACTATCTTGTACAAATATGCGCAAATGGTTGAGGCAGTCTATGGGGGACCAGTTCTTAAAAATAACCTGGAACTCTAACAAAGGTCAACTCGTTTCTCGGATGTAGAAGTTTGTGGTCCTCTTTATCCTTACAATTGAGACATAGATCTGATCGTCGCTAATTCATCAAAAACAAGAAAAAACAAATGAGTTCAGTTCTGAGGCACACATTCATTTTCCCTTATTTTGTTTGAATTGGCGCCAATTACGTCTTTGTCTTATGATGAACCACCTATCATAGTGGTCCATCATAAATTTTTTCCATATTAGTTGGCTTCTCAACAACTGCCAAATGTTGGATAATATCTAATAACTACTTACATGATTGAATCTGAATAAAGAAAGATGATTGACATGACCTATATATATATATATCTACACCATTTGTGTTAATGGTTTGATTTGTGGCTCTCTGCACAGATCCCAAAGAAAGGTAAGATTTATTCAGTGAATGAAGGGAATGCCAAGAATTGGGATGGCCCTACTGCCGCGTACGTATGCATTCAGTAATGTTAAAATGTTATCAAGCACTAAAGTAAAAATTTTGACAATGCTGTGATTCGTTTTGTTACTTCAGTTATGTGGAGAAATGCAAGTTCCCCACAGATGGTTCATCAGCAAAGTCTCTAAGATATATTGGAAGGTATCACATATTCTCAACCCTTGAAGGAGTCTAATTTTGCTTACTGCCCTTGTTTTAATCCTCTTCATAGTGTTTGTTTGGCTTCGGTGAGTTTGTCAAAGTTACTATAAGTCACCAAGATTTTGTTAAAGCTTAGAAGTGTGGCTTTAGCCGAAATCACGGTGACTCGCAGTAATTTTCCCATACTCACAGTCAATCCAAATATGCACTAATACAATTTCCACCATGAGATTAGCTTGTATTCAACTTACATCAAATACGACAGTAACATCTTACTGATGAATACTCTATGCCGAGGAATCTGGCCACTTTTAATGAAGTTTTCATTTCCCTTCATACCCACATTTTTTCCATCCACAAACTCGAACCCAAGAGCTTGTTTAAGGAATCCGAATCTAGTTCAATTCGAACCAATGTAACCTATATCTGTCTAAGTCTGTCCCATATAATTACTTTATAGTAAAAGAAATTTAAGCTGAATTATTTTTTTGAGTCTTCTGCAAAACACAGTTTATAAATTTGAACACTTTTTTCAACTTATAATATTTTTCTATCTCAAACAGTATGGTAGCTGATGTTCATCGCACATTGCTTTATGGAGGTGTCTTTTTGTACCCTGCTGACAAAAAGAGTCCAAGTGGAAAACTTCGGTATGTCAAATTCAACCTCAGTTTAAGCTATTATAATTTTTATTAGGTCTAATTTTGTAAATATTAATGGCTTAATTTAACCTCTTTCATGCAGTGTATTGTATGAAGTCTTCCCAATGTCCTTCTTGTTGGAACAGGCCGGAGGACAGTCTTTCACCGGCAAGCAAAGGGTAATCTATCTGCCATAAGTTCCACATAAATTTAATTGAACTAATGAATTTTATGTGCTTTTTTTTTAGCTCAGATATGATTGTTGTTTTACTTATGCAAGATTTATTTGGCAATGAACTGATAAATCTGGTGTATTACCAGGCACTTGATTTAATTCCAACAAAACTTCATGAACGGTCTCCGATATTTCTTGGTAGCTATGACGATATTGAAGAAATCAAAGCTCTGTATGCTGCAGAAGAGGGTAAATAAAAGGAATCTCAAAAGCTTCCTTCTGTTTTTCATGCAAGCATTATCCAATTTTAGGCTAACAAGTGCCTATAACAATTAAAACTTGTTTACTTGCTCATGTATATGCTATAAAACTTCTTATTTAGCTGCTGCTTGCCATGGTTATAGTTTATATTTACTTGTTTTGGTACAAAGGTTATAGTTTATATTAATGCATAAACAACGTTAGATTAACTAAAGAAATTACATGTTACTGTAGAAACAAAATGTGAAGGATATTAATGTGAAAGTAACGGAGCTCCAATGCCTTGATTAAAATGAAATTAATAAGGATGGAAAAACTGATGAAGAAGGAAGTTTGGAAGGCGATGATGATGCTAAAGGTGTGAGATTTGATGATATTTGGGGATGAGAGACCCACCACTCTCAATGATGGTTTTGAAGTGGTTAAATTGGATCTACCACAAATGGGTTCTAATATAGTTGAAATCAAAGGGGAGTGGTATAGAATCAAGGTTTGTGCTTCAAAGTTACTTATAAAAACTATCACCAAAAAGAAGACAACAATGCTTGCACCTGTGTTTCTGTCACTTAGGATTCTAAAAGCAAAGATGTAGAGGAGAAGCAATACTTGAGTGATGAATTGGATAGCTCAAATCTAGATGAATTTGATGAAGAAAAAGATCTTCAGTATGAAAAATTTAGAAATGAGTAACTAAGTGAGGATTATGAGTTCAAGTTGTGTGGAATTTAATTCTTTATCTGAATTTAAAGATGCAATTATTGAGTTATTTGTTTTAAATGGTCAAAAAATGAAATTTACAACCAATGAAAGTTATGGAGTAAGGGTACTATGTAATGGCAAATGTGGGTTTGTAGGCTGTAGCTCTATGTTTTAAAGTGGATGAAGACACGGTTATCAAAGACTTTTGTGAAAACTCACACACACACATATACAGTTTTGAATAGTAGATCTGCCAAATCTAAGCAAAGTGCAAATAGTGGTCAACAAAATGCAAAAAAGTGAAAATGTAAGAATTTTTATATCATACAATACATGAGGAAAAATTATTCATTTGAGATTACTCCAAACAAAGCATGAAAAATTATTCATTTGAGATTACTCCAAACAAAGCATGGAAAGCCAAGGAAGAATATTAACTGGCTAAGCGTCGTCTTGTTTATTCTATATTTGTGTATGAAGTACCCACCCCACAATAAGTGACTAAGGTTATTCAAATCACCCCACAATAAGTGACTATGGTTATTCAAAGAGATCAAAAGATCGCTAGAAGGCGAGGAAGACCAGAAAGATAAGTTCTAGAATAAGAAAGATAATTTCTAGAATAAAGCTACCAGAGAAATTCCACGAAGGCGAGGAGACCTCCTTCCCAGTCTCTATGGAGACTGAAGGCTATAGATTCAGGAGATATACTGTAACACTCCACTTTTCAAATTAAATAAAATATAAACATTAAAAATAAACATCAGAGTTTTCACCAAAACAGTGAGATATCACATCATAAAATTCACCAAAATACTTTATTAATCATTTTTCAAAATAAAGCAGCGGAATAATCTTTAATTTCTCATTCTTGGCCATCCGCCAATTACACAAAACATTTATTAAAAAGTTTTCACCAAAATATGATACGTCACAGGATTTCAACAAGTTCGACATAAAAACATTAAAACACCCATGTCCTGTGCTACGTATCAGAGCATCCTAAGACTCGACTCGCACACCTCATATCCAAGCTAGCTAAGTACCTGGATTATCTGTACTTCCGAGAAAGCAAAGACCACAACAACAACAAAGGGGTGAGAAAACATGATCAAAATTATCGGTAATATAATACATGAAATAAAGGTAGTAAATACACCAATCATATAATTCATCACCCAACATTCATCAATCACGACCAATGGTCATTCACCAACGCAACACATCATAATGCAAATATGCAACATAACACCATGCATGCGGTACCGACTCATTGGTTCATTCTATGGAACCCGGATAAATCACATACACCCGCCCTTGGCCATGATCCGTCCTCACCATTCCCCACTCAAAGGAATACGAATGAATCACATACACTCCCCTGAGCAATGACTCATCCCACCACTACACCATGATATGCATAACACCAAATGCATACAAATTAACACAAGCATACATTGTGCATACGATTCTCAGATCACACCATCATACATCACATATACATAGATATGTCATACACCAATCAATCATATTAATTTATTTAAATACAGGGAAGTTCACATTCCCTCACCCAATATACTCATACCCCAACGTCCTAGGTACACACGATCCTATTGATCACCTCACCATGCATTCTATATATGCATATATACATATACCTTACCCACCAATTAAATGTATCTACTAAATCCAACATTTCATAATTTCACCTTTCAACACCAAGTATACACTCTTCACTACTAAACACCATTCCTCTACTTATCACAGCTCAAGGGATCCTACAAACGATCACACACCATTCAATTATATAAATTAATTAGATATTAAGAAAGTCCACCTTCTAACACCAAGTATCCTCATACTCCAACACACCGGATACACACGATCCTACTGATCACTTCACCCTACTTCACATACTTCATACACCACTGAATTAATTTACTTAAATTAAATATTATGGTATCCACTTCCTATCACCAAGTATGCACCCTACATCATTCAATCACCATCCCTACACTCCCCATGATCAAAGAGATTCTACAAGGCTAATGCATAAGGCAAAACAGTACCAAAAACCACATTCTGCTATCATGTTCGCTGGTTCATTCGCCAGGCGAAGCCCTAGCAAATGCTCGCTACCAGCTCGCCAGGCGAACCTGCTCGCGAAGTCCTTCTCAGCTATCGTGCATTCGTCAGGCGAAGGAATCATTCGCAAGGCGAACCTTCGTTGGCCACACTCGCCAGGCAAACTTCATGCCCTTTGGGTCTGGGAGTTTATTTGGAATTACTCGCTACTACTCGCCAACACTCGCCAGGCGAACACTCGCCACCACTCGCCAAGCGAACCCTCGCCAATACTCTCCAGGCAAACCCTTGCGAATGCTGCGATGCCCAGAATCCTCACTGTCTTACGGTGCTATCTGGACCAACTCAAGCCTATCATTCGCTATTCAACTTCTGTACTATTAACATTACAATTATCACACATTACTCTCATCAATTTCTCCCTAAGTTTCACTCCAGAATTAACATTCCAGTACATCACCAATGCCTCAGAGTTGCTCAGAACCTCACCAAAGCCATAATCATGGTCATCATCAACACTACAGTAACAACATAGAATCTCACCAACATCACCATAACATATACACCAAAATGCATCATCAGCATTCATCAATTCAACAGCATCAACAATAATAATAAGCATGCCAATATAAAACTCATACGCATCAAATCCCTACGGGGTTAAGGAATCCCCTCTACCCAATTTCATGCAATTTACCAATCCCAATCAGTTTCTCCCCCTTACCTCGATTATCGCTCTGATTGATGAAGAATTCCTCAAGAATCGATAACCCTAGCCTCTTCCCTTTCTCCTTGTTCTTCGTTCTCACGGTCTCTCCCAATTCTCTTCTCTGACAGTTTCTATCTTGACTTTTCACTTCTCTCTCCAACTTCCCCAAATCCCCTCAACTTCTTATTTTATATTTTAATCCCAATAATAATAATACTAATAATTATAATAATAATAATAATAATAATAATAATAATAATAATAATAATAATACAACCAACAACAATAATAATAATAATAATAATAATAATAATAATAATATTACTATTAATTAAATTATCACCAATATTATTTATATTATAATATCACCTCTACATTTTAATACGCAACTCCTATAAATTAAGGACACCCACCATATAATACTCAGACACACCCCCACCTTGGGCACACCAACATAAAATAACACCAAAAAAACTAAATAATTAAAATGGGTGTTACAACTCTCCCCCACTTCAATTATTTTCGTCCTCGAAAATTACCTGATGGAAACAATTCCGGATACGCTTCCCGCATCCTGCTTTCCAATTCTCAGGTCACACTGCCTCCTGAAGCACCTTCCCAAGTCACTTTCACCAAAGATATCTCCTTCTATCGGAGTTGTTTCTTGTTCAGCAATCCGAACTAGCAATACCTCAACAATCAAATTATTTCTCACTTGTACATCATCCACCTGAATTAATGTACTTCCTCAATGGAGACACATACAACACATTATGCCAATTCACAGGCGACAACGGCAAAATAGTCTAACATGCTACTTTCCCCATGTTTCCGCTGCGCCACTCTGATATAGATAAACAAAACACAGAGTGTCCTCCCGAGACTTCAAAGCTCGACCAACACCAGTTACCATCGTAACTCGCAAAACACATTTTTTCTTGGATCCTTTAGATCTTTTCAGCCGTCTCATGCACAATTCTCAGATCTGAGCATAACACTCTCGCTCTACTCATTCCAACACAAGAGAGTCCCACACTTCCTATCTTACAAGGCCCCATACAGTGCCATTCTGATACTAGAGTGGTAACTGTTATTGTAGTCGACTCAATCAACGGTAATTAACCATCCCACGATCCATCCTGATCCAACACACAAACTCTCCCCAATTCTCCAAAAACTGAATAGTCCTCCCTGCCTGACCATCAGTTTGCGGATGGTAAGCTAAACTCAACTTTAACTTAGTACCCAAAGCTTCCTGTAAGCTCCTCCAAAATCTCAATATAAACATCAAATTTCCATCCGACACAATATTCGACAGTATCCCATACAACTTCACCGCTTCATCAATATGCATCTCATATACCCTCAACGTAGAATAGTTAATCCACTCACAATAACCCAAATTAAAATTATATCTTTCCAATTCTTTGGAAAACTCAACACCAAATTCGTGAAAATACTACCCGATTTCTGCTCTAGAATATTCAACAGCTGCATCAGACTCGACGGTCTCTGATGTTCAATCTTTGACTCTCGACAATTCTAACCAGCATATTCAACCTCAACCACTCCTCTCTACATCTATGGTCACCAAAATAATTTACTCAAATTCGGTTACTTCTTCCTAGCACCGGGATGGATACTCCATCTACCTCAATGTATTTCTTCATGATTACTCCTACTCCACTCAACAACATCTGGAACACAAACTCCATCACAACATATCGTGGTACTATTTCCACAAATCCGACAATCAACTCTTCG